CATGTTCTTCTTAAATTCTCATTAATGCATGTGGACATACATTTTGTAATTAATTAGTAATTAATTAGAAGATCCAAATCGAATAAAAATGACTGTTTTCAAACAGGTTTCCCCAACACTTACCGATAGCCCCACCCCAAATGCACACTATTATATACTATACTACTATACTAACATGAAAAAAACACTTAATTTTAAGTATATTAAATTAAGTGGTGAAATTAAGTGGTAAAATAATTACTTAAGTGTTAAAATAAATACTTAAGTATTAAGTACTCATTTTAACACTTTATTTTTTACATTGAATTTAATTTTAATTTATACTTTATATAAGTATTTGAAGTATTAAAATTAAGTGTTAAAATTAAATTTTAAAATCACACCTTAAGTATTAAGTATTCATTTTAACACTTAATTTTAAGTATATTAAGTGGTGAAATTAAGTGTTAAAATAATTACTTGTGTTAAAATAAATACTTAATTATTCATTTTATCACTTATTTTTTACATTTAATTTTATGTATATTAAGCATTAAAATTAAGTGTTAAAATTTAATTTTAAAATCACACCTTAAGTATTCATTTTACCGCTTAATTTTTAGATTAAATTTTAAGTATATTAAGTATTAAAATAAAAATTAAATGGTGAAATTCAGTGGTGAAATTAATACTTAAGTGTTAAAATTAATGCTTGAGTACTAAGTATTCACTTTAACACTTACTGTTAACACTTAATTTTAAGTATATTAAATTAAGTGGTGAAACTAGGTGTTACAATTAATACTTAAGTATTAAATATTTATTTTAACAGTTAAAGTAGATTAAGTATTAAAATGACGTGTTAAAATGTAAACACTTAATTGTAAATATATTAAATTAAGTGGTGAAATTAGGTGTTAAAATTAATACTTAAGTATTAAATATTCATTTTAACAGTTAAAGTAAATTAACTTAAGTATTAAAAGTAAGTCTTAAACTTAATACTTAATTATCAACTTCAAGTATTCATTTAAACACTTAATTTTAAGTACATTAACTTAACTTAACTTAAATGTAAAAATTAATAGTATTTGCTTTTGAAGTATGAAGTATTTATTTTAATATGACATTTTAAAAAGACAGCATCTTTATTTTGTTCTATTTTTTTTCTTTCTTTTTATTTTTTACAGCAATGAGAATTTGTGAAGAATGTGATTAATTATTATGAAAATAATGTCACAAAGAAATTGTCACGGAAACACCTGCCTCACCAGCCGAATCAGCCTCCTACACCCGCTCACAATCACCCAATTACTAATCACGGACACCTGCACCCACTTACCACACCAGTCAAATACACACTCACCTCAGTCACTCATCGGCTGGTCTCAAGGTTACAAGCTTCTCCGCATGGGTTCCTTGCCTCCCGATCTGCCTACCAAACCTCGGATTCCTCAGTTCTCGGCCGGAGGACCAGAGTGCCGACCCCAGATAAGACTGTGTGCTATCCTTCCATTTATCCCTACGTTTGACTCTTTTCTGTTGGAAGCTCCTCCTCAGTTCCTATTAATAAACTCTCTGCCTTACGTTAACCTGTTTGTTTGCCTCTTTGTCCCGGATGTGACAGAAATACTTAACGGCTCTAAATGGCTTAATTTTCTTCATGCAAAATACAATTTCTTATTTACTCCCCCTTTCATTTCCTCTTTTCTTTCCATTTATCTGCCGTTTCACTGGCATCTGTTTCAGCCAGTTCATGTCTGTCTTTTCCTTTACTTCCATCTTTCTTTCTTCCTCCTCTCCTCCAGCGCCGCTCCGAGCAGCAGCAGCAATTATGTTAAAAGCCAGCAGACCTGCTCTCATCCAAGTGATGTCACCCTGCTCATGTCAGCAAAAAGCAAACTTTCCGCTGCCAAAATGGCCGTGCGACACACACACACACACACACACACACACTCACAAACTCACACACACACACTCTCACTCACTCACACACACACACACACACTCACACACACACTCACAATCAGCATCTGATTAGAGGACAGTAGAATCAGTTGAAGGGGCCATTAATCAGTTTAATTGCTTTCCTCATTTCAATCAACCAATTAACAGCGTGAGGAGCAACTCGTTTTCTGACATGAAGGTAAAATATAACAGACCGTCAGCGTCAAACATGAAACTCATTAAATTGACTAACTTTTCCAGGCGAAAGTACCGCATCTGTCAGGCTGCCTGTATGAGAGTTTGCAGTGCGCTTTAATGGGAAAGTCGAAAAACATAAAGGTGTATGAATGCAACTGAAAATATGCTCATCCTCAGGCCATCTAAGATCAGGATGAGTTTGTTTCTTCATCAGGTTTGTAGAAATGTAGCATTGCATCAGTGTCTCAGCAATGGATGCTCTGCAGTGAATGGGTGCCATCAGATTGAGAGTCCAAACAGCTGATAAAAACATCACAATAATCCACAAGTAATCCACAGCACTCCAGTCCATCAGTTAACATCTGGAGAAGACAAAAGCTGAAACTAATCCAGCATTAAGATGCTTTTAACTTCAAACCGTTAAAATTTAGGACTGTTTTGGACTGTTTAAACGCTGCTTGATCTGTGCAGATTTCTCTCCTGATTCAGACCAGAACACTTTTTCACTGCAGGAAGCGTTATTATGGATTATGGACTCAATGTATTTTAGTTAAAAACATCTTTTTGCATATTAAACCTGTGCAAATACATCCATTTTCAACATTTCTCCTTAGAAATCTGCTGTAGCTCATTTCGTTTGAGCTCACGTAACGTTTTTAGTAACATTTGCGTGAAATGAACTCATTTCATTTAGTAAATTTCACTGTTAATATGTTTTTTCTGCAAACTCGAATGGTTTAAAGCAAACATTTTCCCCCGAAAACGTCAAGTTTAAAAAGTGAACTTTTTATTTGATTGATTTCTTTTTATTTCAATATTTCTAAATATTCAAATTGCACTATAAACTCCACTCAAATACTTCGTGTTACCTGAATTTAGTACAATTAGAAAGATCAGATGAACCTAAATCTGACGCATTTTAATCCTGTGCAAAAGCAAAACAGTTAAGAGTTCACATAACTTTTCTCTATAAAGTGCAATAAACTTTCAGTAATATTTGTGTGAAATAAACTCATTGCATTTAATAAATGTAGCTGTTTATAGTGTTATATTGAGTTTTTTGCCCAAAACTTACATGTGGCATCAGCAATTTAGGATTTTCTCACCCATAAACAGAACATAAAACAAAGCAGTTTCAGTCCGTTTGCTAGTTAATTGATTATTTAGTTAAGCTGTAACGTGGACAAGACTTTATGCTGATTGTCAAACGACTGAAAAAGCACAAGTAGTTCACAAACACGTCCTAAAATGTGAAGCTCCTATAACGACTTCACTTTCTTCTCCTCTCTATTCTTCTCTCTTAACTCTGATTGATGAGCATCTGTCAGTTTGTTTTCTTTCGTTCGCTCTCATTTTTTCTCCAAAGATTCATCTCATTAATTCTGGACACACTGGAGTCTCTTGGACCAGCCTTCATCCTCCAAAGAAACGCCACCATATTTAGATATCAAGCATTAGAAACACATCAGGATGATTTTATGATCAAACAACTGATATTCTCTGAAATATATCATCTGAAAGTCTGGATCACGTCCAGATGAAATCCAGACACACGGATGCATTTTCTCACAGTATTGCATTGATACTTCAGACTCGTGCAATGAATCGATAAATGTATTCTTGCCTGCATTCATATAATATCCTGCAGAAGCAGCTCATCTTTTCTCAAATTTGGAACAAAAATAAATAAAATAAAACTGAGTTCAAAAAATGTCAACTAACAAAAAATATCACTTTTGTTAATCTTTCAACAAATCGTTGTTAAACTGTATACTGTAAGTTTCAAAATTTCAATTAATTAAACAGCTTTTTGATTACTAAAGCTTCATTTAACTATTAAAATGGAATCCAGAAAAATTGAAAATGGAAAAATAAATAAATACTGATTTTTCTTTAAAATAAATAAATGAAACCGATTTTATAGGTGCCTAAAAAACTTATTTTTCTGAAGATTTTAGAAAATTGTTATTAAAGCGTATATGTTTCATGATTTCAATAAATTAGACCATTTTTTTGATGACTAAAATTTAATGCAACCATTATAAAATAATCCAGAAAACTCGGAAGGAAAACACAGAATTTGGGAAAAAATAAAACCGATTTCATAGGGCCTTAAAAATTATTATTCAAATTTTTTTTTTAAATACTATCCAGAAATCCAGAAAATAAATAAACAGATTAAAAAAAAAACTTAATTTGGTAAAAAAAAAAAAAAAACTGATTTCATAGGGCTTAAAAACTTAATATTTGTTCTTCTTTTAATACATTGTTTTTAAATTGAATAAGTTTCATGATTTCAATTAATTAGACATGCTTTTTGTCACTAAAATGTAATTTAACTGTTAAAACAGAATCTAAAAAAAAAATGTTTTTTGTTATTTTTTATATATAAAAAAAGTATTTTATAGGACCCTAAATAAATAGTTATTAAATTGTATAAGTTTTATGATTTCAATTATTTGGACATGCCTTTTGATTACTACAATTTAATTTAACCATTAAAACACAATCCACAAAAATGAAAACAGAAAAATTATAACTGAATTTGGGAAAAATAAAATGAGTTTCATGAAGTAAACACACACTCACACACACACACACACACTAAACCAAACCAAAGCCACCACACACACACACTCTCACACACACACACACACACACTCTCACACACACACACAGAGCGAGAGAGATTTACACACACTAAACCAAACCAAAGCCACAAGAGGAAAACACAAAAGAAAACAAACACACAGCTCTCTTTTGCCTAATTTTCCTGTGACTGCAGGCAGCACAATTCCTTCCTCAGATCCAAACACACACACACACACACACACACACACACTGCACTCTCCCATGTCGCCGATAAACTCTGGAGTGGTTCGGCTAAATTAACTATGCTAATCACGGCGTGTCTCTGGGGATGTGAACACTAAATGGCTTTTAATCTAACGCGCCTCTGCAGACACAACAAACAACTGACGGCAAACAGAACGCACAAGCTCCGCCCCCACCACACTCTCAGCCAATCAGCCGTGGAGAACAGCAGGACTGTTTGACCTTGACTTCTCACCCTCAGATGGTCAATATGGATTAAGACACACAGAAAGCAGATCTGGATTAGGACTGGAGATACGAGTGCGTCACCTGAAGTTCGGTGCGGATGCCCACTCCAGCGCCAGACAGGCCAGATCCACAGCGGCGTAAACCAGCAGGAAGAATATGGTGGCGATACTCGCGATCGTGTTCAGCTTCCCGGCGAACAACACCAGCTGAGGAGAGAAAGAGAAGAAGAGACGCTCATCAGATCCGGATCAGAGTCACCTTCACTTCACTTCACTGGTGAGACGCCTTAAAACGACTATTAGACATTAGACAGTGTTCGGTAACTGAAATAAAGCAAAACTAAACTAAACTAAACTAAACTAAACTAAATTAAATTAAATTAAATTAAATTAAATTAAATTAAATTAAATTAAATTTAAAAAAGATAAAATATTATATGAAAAACAAAAGACTTAAATTAAATTTAAGTTGAAGTATTACAATTAATAAAACAAAAATAAAGCTAGAAATATTTTTTTAAACCTAATAAAAAGTACAAAGCAGTGAAGGGAGGATAGGAATAAAGTTAAAGTAAATGCAAATTTTTTTGATTTTCATATTTTATGCAATACAGACAAATTACAAAAGCTCATAAAATTACTAAAATGACAATGAAAACTGAAAAAAAAAAAATAATTAAATATTCTAAATTCAAA